TACTGATATTGCTCTGAAAAACAAGCTATTTTTCCTCTTTCACCTAAGAGTCTTGTGTCTTTCTCCAGCATCCATAAAATGCTGGCAGGCTACTTGCAAGTGTGGGAGAATCTCATGCCCTTTAGTTTTTGACTCAAGCCAATGTATTTTTCAGTCTCTCTGGTGGTTACAGGTGCTGTTATCAGGTATTGTTATGCATGTCTACATAGGTAGTTGTTGCTTCTAATCCTTTTTAATGGTTCTGACCCTGCTTTGGGGTACTTTTCTCAAGGCACGTTCTGTTCAGTCCTCACCTAAATTCTCAAGGGAATCTCTGTATAATTCCAGAGTTCTTTCTTCCCTCTGGTCCTCTGTACTGCCAACTCTAATTGTCTTATTCTCTCCTGACTCTCAGCTATTCCTTTCAACTTGGAAATTCTTCCAGGCTTAGGTTAGGTTACCTTTCCTTGTGCTGTGGTCTGGAAATTCTCTCAAAGCTATATGGTTGGGTAATTATGGACTCAACTGGCTTGTTTTGCTATCTCTCAGTGATCTTTCTTTCCATAATAAAACCTGTTTTGTATATATTTTGTCTATTTTTGGTTGTTTTGGGTGGAAAGGTAAATTTAGTACTGTTACTCCATCTCTCTCTCTCTCTCTCTCTCTCTCTCTCTCTCTCTGTGTGTGTGTGTGTGTGTGTGTGTGTGTGTGTTGGTACTAGGGATTGAACCTGAGACACTCTGCCACCAAGCCTCATCCCTGCTTTTTTTTTTTTTTTTTTAAATCTTGAGACAGGTTCTCACTAAGCTGCAGATGCTGGCCTCAAGCTTGTGATTCTCCTGAGCCATCTTCCTGGGTAGCTGGGATCATAGGTGTGTTCCACCATGCCCAGTGTGTTACTTCATCTCAACCAGATGTGGAAGTCCCACAAACTTTTTATGAAATCATTTTAATTCCATCATTTCTCTTATATTCTTTCATATTCTACTTACCTTTTAATTTGGGTTATGTTCTCAGATATGTAGTTCATGGTTTTTAAGTAATTAAATCTACCAGTTAATATTTTAAAAATCACCACCACTGATTTTAGAGATGTAAAAGTGTTTCTATGATTCAGATAATATAGATATTCACTTATGTTTCTGTATTTTGCTTACAGTTTGTTTAATATTTAGTTCTGAAATTCATTTTAAGGTATAATGTGAGATTTTAATTTCTTTCTCTCCCCAAGTTGTCAATTTTACTAAAATAATATTTGCATAACATATCCATTTACATGTAATGTCTCTTTATGTATTTTAAGAGTTCACATATTCTAGGATTCAGTTAATTTCCATTTTTTATCTATCCATGTTAACTATTATAATTTTAGAATACATTCGAATAGCTGAATAGGCAAACTTTGCCTCCATATTATTTATTAAAATATTATTCTTTACTTATCTTGAACTTTGGAACTTTTTTATCAAGACCTTGCTGTATGCTCCTTCCTTCCCAAAATTAATTCCAGTAGAATTTTGGTTGGAATACACAAACATCTTTAGATTATTTGGTCTGTCTTTCAGGAATATGGTACATCAATTAATTTGTAAAACACTTTCATTTCATTTCCATCTCTTGTTATGGTGCCGAATCTACTACATCGTTTAGAATTCCCTTTCTTAAAAGGCCACAGTAGAGTTTAACATTAGCAACAATCTTTTCTTTGGGGAAATTTACCTCACTAATGTTTGGGAACTTAGCATTTGTTCTATGCATAACTCTATTCTAGTCCCTCTTTCTTGTTCCTTCTCAAATAGGAGCTCTGGTATTCCCTGCAGTCCTGAGATCTCTGCTTTTTCTTTTCTCTCCTTCCTCTCTGTGGACAGAACTCCAAGAACCATCGTGTCACCAGAATCTGTTTTCAGTGCCCCTGTCTAACCAGCCTTGAATTCAGACTTTCCCAGAAGAGTATCTCCCACTCTGGAAACATTGTGCAGTTCTCTCTCCTTGATGCTTTCCATTTCCATTTGCTTAAACCTTCTAATGCATTCACACATTCAAACTGCAACAAATAGCGCGTTCAGAAAAAAAAAAAAAATTTTATCAGTTATTTTTGGGATTTTTACAGAGAACTCTCATCTTAATCTCCATCATCCTTCAAAAAATGAAGGAACTTTCTGACAGTGCTGTAAGCAGGGAGGGAAGTTGTGGGTGCTGATAATATTTTCTTCACAACACCCATGCTAGTTTTACATTAGTCAAGACCAACAAGGAGACAAAACCTGCTTAGTAGTGTGAATAGGCAGGTTAATATAAAATATTATTAGCTTTAATGTAGTAACAATGTATTGGCTGCTAAGAAGGAAACTAAACTACAAATAGAGTAATAGCAAACATAAGAAACAGCAAATTACCCCCCCCCCCCCGTATAGAAATTAATGCTAAAGGAAGTGGCCCATCCTTGTACCCACAGTTGAGATTCAGATCTTGTGGTTCATTGGAGGAGTGGCTGTTGTGCGGCCCTGTCAAAACTTGTTAAAAATCCTCCTTCTAGAACTTTCTGGAAATCAGTGCTCTTTAAGGTACTGGGGAAAGCTGTGTATGTTCAGCCTCATTTTGCAATGGAACTGTATAAGGAGGGTTTGTGGGGAAAGCTACCGGCTCCTGAGTGCTGCTGACCACTGGGCATTGCAGGAGACAGATGCTGGAGAAGTCATCTGAGCTGCTGGAGTCTCCTGCTAGAGAGGAGCCAGCAGACAGAAGCACACTGGAACCTTCTTTTTACAATATCACTCCAGTGCCCTCTACTGACAAAGCTTAACATTTGGCTGGTCGGTATAGAAAAAGTATTTAAAGAGCCCAGCTATATTTTCACCAAGCAGCCAAAAAGGGTGAATTTGGAGCTGAGAGGTAATAAGCTGATAACTAGCATAGGTTTTCATCATAAGGTTCTCATAAAAGCATCTAAGCGACTTCAGTAATTTCCATCATAGAGTATGCACTCTATTTGAATCTTGTCACTTATTTTGGATCATTGTAAGGGCCGGGATGTGTTTTCTAATTAATGAATACAAGTGCTTAAAAGAAATTTTTATTGCCTATTTTTTATTATGCATTTTCTGGGACATTCTAAGTAGGCAGGTTAGCTTAATGGTTGAGCTGACTTCAAAGCAGAGGCCTGAGATTTAAATATGATTCTGCTGCTTACTGGCTGTGTGTCCTTGAACAGTTATGTATTCTTACCTGAGGCTCAGTTTCTTCATCTATAAAATGGGGACAATAATAGCTCACTGACTTATTGTGAAGATTAAATTAATACAGGTACCTTCCAATTAACAGTAGTAATCCATTTCTGAAAAATCAGATTTCTGGGTTAAAAACTTGGAGCATATTTTATTTTAAAAAGGAAAACTTTGAATATGTAATAAATCAACATCACTCACCATAATCTCCTAAACAGCAACTAAACTCAGCAAAGTTACTTACAAATTACTCTATTGAGATGTAAAATCACTTCCTGATGGCAAATATTAGCATATTAATTCAGGAACTCTATGTTTCATATTCAGTAACATCTTTTTCATTGTACTATATATATATATATATATATATATAGTCTTTCACTCTCTACAATTTTATTCAGTGCTTTCTCAACTGTGTTTGGAACTTGTATAACACTAGGCAAAGCAACAGCTAAATATGAAAGACTGCAGGAAGTAGATTCAGCATCAGGCAGCCGAAGGAAAGCATCACACTAAGCAGGATGGCAGAGCTTCTCAGTATGAGCAATATCCTCTAAGATACACCCTTCTGTCGACAGTAATTGCACTTCTCAGATTTATTCATAATCTGATCTCTTACCATCTATATTTGGATTGGAATGGCATTTTTCCTGCACTTTTTTTTTTAATTTTAGAGGTAACTATTTGGAATGCCATTTCCTCCAGATTGTATTTTTTTAATGTTGAGTTTTTAGGATATAAATACATATTTCCTGTATAAAAATCCATCAAAATATGTCAAAATGAAGAGTCATACTTCCTTTATCTCCTTCCTCCCTTCCTTCCCTCACAGGAATTTTGTATACTAAAAATCAAAAATTTATTTGAAAAACACTAAATTAGGGAAAAACATTAGAACATGTTTGGCCTGTAAAACAAATGTAAACGTTTGCTTTATTGTCTGATTTCATTAACCCTGTATTTTTGACATTCATTCATCCCCCCCCACCCCATATTATATATTTTTTGAGCTACTACTACAGGGCAAGTCCCATTGCTAGCCTTGGGATTACAACATTGAATGGAATGGTTCCTATCTTCAAGGGAAAAATAGGTGCAGTTGTGAGGTGCTGCATAGAAGGCAGGCGGGGCTGAGAGCGCGGGAGGCAGAAGGCGGAGAAAACTAGCCTGAGAGGATGGGGGGGGGGTGCTGAGATGCGCGCGCAGCAAGCCCTTCAGGTTGGTGGGAGACGGGTGCAGCTGAGTCCCCTAACATCTGGTAGCCCGCGGAAATGAGGCTCTATTCAGTTTGCAGTTGGAAGCCACTTGAAAGGTTAACCTGAAGACTATCTGATAAAGTTTCTCGCTTGTCGTGCTGAGAATCTGGTGGCTGGGGTGGGGGTGGGGAATATTATATCTGATTACCGACCCGCGAAAGGGACGTTCAGTGGACACACGGGGACCGCTGTGCAGCACCCCAAATGTACATTAAACGAGGCAGCAGATGAAGGAAGCGGCCAGGGGGATGGAAATGAAAGGGGACCCGGTGGAGCTGCTGCCGGGCAGGGCAGTGGACCAGTCCAGGGCAAACTGCCAGAGAGTCAGCCGAGACCGTACATCCATTGATTTTTGTTTAGGAACCGACTTCATTTTAAGTCCTGGAAATTCAGACGTCTCTCTACCTATATTATGAGACCCAACCCTGGAATTTTGTGCAGAACCACCGCTTCCGGAACCTTGTGTTACCGGAACTAGGCGCGTAAGTTCCCTTCGTTGCCACCCGACGCAACTTTTAAGTCACGCTTCCGGTGAGGGAAAATGGCCGCGGCCGTTCAAAACTCACGTGTGAGTGCGGGGAAAAAGCTGAAAAATTCCTTAAAGAAAAAAAAGAAGATGAAAATGGTAGCCAGGGCTGTGACAGCGAAGCTGGAAGATGAGGGCAAAGACGCTTCCGACAGTGAAGGTAATGTATTAAGGCTGAGCTTCGGTGTCTGACAGGAAACACTAGGCTCAGTTCCCGGGAAGGCCGATGTCAGTGTGCTTGCTGGAAGCCGCCAGGGTTTCATCACGGCGTGACATGGGTTGGAAGAGTTTGGCCCAGTGAGAAGGCTTGCTCTAATCTGCAATTTTGAGTATTGTTTACTAATTTTTTTTTAGTATCACCGATATTAAAGGTGGTGAAACTGCTGCAGTTACTGAGAAATTTAACAAAGAGTGAAAGAAGGGAGATATTTGAAATTACCTGAGTGGAATAAATTTCAGAGAGCGAGAAGCAAGAAGCCAGAAAGAAGTAAGAGGAAAAAGGATGTATTCTTGACTATTGTGCATTAGGTGAATGCTGCTGTTTCGGAGTTAAGGACTCAAATAGAGAATGAAAGCAGAGTTTGTGGTACACGTGGGTTAAATAAAAGTAGCATTTGATAGCAATGTCTCAGAGACGCTTGATGATGAAAAGAAGGTAGGATTTATTTTGACCTTCAACCATGATGTGTCCTTGTAGGTTACAGGGAATTGCACACTGTCCTGACTTATGCTGAACAGTTAATGCTTGTTTGTACTAGAGGATACAAACAAAACTAACAGCTATTTTAAATAATGTATGTCTAATAATGTCATTTATTTGCTTAAGATGACCTAGTTGCCTCCCATCTCAGAGTAACATCCAGAATCTTTATACTGCATCATCTGGCTAAGGTTCTTTCTGTCACTCTGCTACTCACTAACTATTTACCTAGACAAACTGGTATTCTTGGTTTGTTTATCACATCAGATGTGCTCCCGCATCAGGCTTTCTGCACTTGGTGGTTTTACTGCCTAAAATACTCTACAGATACTTGTGTGTCTCTCAACTCATTTGTTTAATCTCTGATTCATTGCTTTATAAAAGACTCTTGACCCTAACCTTGTTTCTAATGCATCATCTCCATTCTTTTGTTTCCTTACCTTTGCTTTTATATTTACTACCCTGCCCCCCTTCTTTTCCCCTCAGCAATTTTAAAACCATCAGACATATTTGTGGTCTATCTCTCCAAACTGGAATGTGAATTCCATAAAATTATAGACTGATCCGTTCCCATCGCCTAGAACAGTGCCTTTTGCATAGTATGTCTATCATAAGTATTTAAGTAAATGAATGAATCTGGACTTCAGGACCAAGAAGAAACTCTTATATGCTATTGCAGTCACTAGGTAATTAAGAGTCTTTATACCCTGTCAAGGGAGTTAAGGAGAACAATTTGATACTATTTGAACTCAAAGACTGGTTCAAATATTGTCCAGGAAACAAATACTATTACATTTGGAACAAAATGTAAGTACTGTTTTTTAAATTTGGGTGGAAATTGGACTATTGTATACAAGTACTAGATAATTCTAAGTGGGAACTGTTATTCTCAGTACACTATTCTAATACTAATTCGGTTCTAAGGTTCTCTTGCTGTTATTTTGTACATCATGAGTTAAAGAAGGTGTCCTGCTAGTATGGAAACCTAATTATCCAGCTCAGTTCAATGAGCAATTGTGGTCTGTTATGTACTCCTCTAGGTGTTGAGGATACAAAGATTGAATAAATTCGTGTCTTAGAATTGCAATTTCAGGGAAGATAGCTATTAAACACATTGTAATACAATGTGTTATTAATTTGTTACGATATAGTATTATTTAATTTAATAATAAGTATTATTAGAATGAAGTTATCCAGACCATGATCCAATTAAAAAAATGTTAAGGATGGAAACAGAGAAGTCCATATTCTGTAGAACCCAATCTAGGCATCAAGTTTTTTTATTATACCTTTTATTCATAGTATGTTTATTATCTTTTAACATGTATCTGTCCTTGTAGATGCACATTTTCCAAATGATGATGTATGTTTTGTTTATCTTTATTTTCAAGGGGTCTTTCTTGAATATTTTGGCTATTAGTAAATTTTTGTGTTGAATAAAATGCAAAAGTGACATTTCATCTAGGCTTTCTGAAGATAAATTATTTTCTAGGCTTGGACAATTATAAAAGAAAAATTTTCTCAGACATTAGGAGAAGCCCATGCATTGTCATTGTCATTCATCCTTGTTTGTTTTTGTTTTTTTCCTTTCTGGTACTGGAGATCAAAACTAGGGCGCTTTACCACTAAACTACATCTACAGCCCTTTTCATTTTTTATTTTGAGTCTTGATAAATTGCCCAGGCTGGCTTCAAATTTGTAATCTTTCTGCCTCAGTCTCCTGAGTTGGTGGGATCACAGGCATGTGCCATCATAGCTGGCTGGTGTGCAGTCTCTTAAAATTTATTGTCTTGTGTTGGACAAAGTGAATTATTTATTTGTTGTGGCTTCAGCTCTTTGGAGAAGTAACTAGAGGTGAAACTGGAACAGAGATTAAAGTAAGATTGTAAAGAACCTTGTGTGATATATGGAGATTATATTTTTAAGTGACAGGGAGCTATTGAGAACTTTTAAGCAAGAGAGTGACAGACATTTATAAATATTACTGCTGTCTGTATGGTGACTGCTGTAGAGTGCCTGAACAATCAGGCAATTACATAACTCCCTGTTGGGGCCTTTACTGGGACAGGATAGTGAAGATAGAAAAGGCCCTACTTGAAATGTTTCTTTCATTTTTTTCAATTTTCATTTTTTTTCAATTTTCCAACAACCAACTTAAACATAAACTCAAAGCACCGTTAATTTTGAGTATACTGTACTATTAGAGAATTAGATAATAATATTTTTTTGAGTTTTCCTTTGTTAGGTACTGTTCTGACTTATATGTCACTTCAGTTAATACCAACAATAACCCTATAAGGTAGATAACTAATGTCCTCATTTTGCAATATAAGAAACCAATGCACAGAGAGGGTTGTATTTTGCTCACTGAATTTATAAATTGACAAGCAAGTTGATAAATGACAAAACTGTTATTGAAGTTGGTCTCTAGATTCTGCACTCTGGGCCACTATGCTGGTGTGGTTGAAGAATCAGGAATATAAAAATGATCAAAAAAAGCTATTTGGAAAGTGAAAGGGATAGGGTCATAATATCTGAAGAAAGAAATGACTGGGAGCAAGGAGTCCTTGATACTGGGACAAGCTTTTTCCCCCACTCAAGGATGTTCCATCACTAAGGGTATTTTTTGAGGTCAGATTTCTATAGCATTCTTTGTAACGTTTATAGCCATTGTTTCCCTCAGTCCACTCTTCTATTATCTATCATTCTCTTCCTCCCCTAAAACCCATATATTGTTTCTAGAAACAAATTCCCATGTTTGCTAAGTTGTATAAGAGGCACCCGTGTTTGTACTAATTCCTAGGGTGACTTCAGGCTAGTTATTTACTATTGTAGGTTAAGCATCCCTATTTGGAGACTCTGAAATGTGAAATGTGAAATGCTCCAAAATCTGAAATTTTTTGATTGTTGATGTGATACCACAAGTGGACAATTCCACAGCCGATCTCCTGTGACTAAAAATAGTATATACAGTTATACTGAGGTTATGTATTTAAGGTGTATATGGAACATAAATGAATTTCTTGTTTAGATTTGGGTCCCATTCCCAAGATATGTTATTATACGTATGTAAATATTCCAAAATTCAAACGTTTGAAGCACTTCTGATCCCCACCGTTTTGGATAAGGAATACTCAAACCTGTATCTGCTTCAGTTTTTTTAAATCTGTAAATGAGGGGGATTATGATGTCTATCTTAAGGATTGTTGTGAAGTAAATTGAGTTCATCTATGTAATAATTCAATATTGGGCCCATGGTACTTAATCATAAATAGTAGTATTAATGAATTTCCTTTCTGATTCAACAAGACTGTTAGTTTCATCTCTTTATTGCCAGATATGCTTTCCAGCCTGTGATAACAGTGGTGTTTATAAACTGGAAGTTTCTCCAGAATAGTGGTTTGAATTTTCTTTAGTAACCCTAAGAGGCAGTGAATGCATTTCTGTTTTACAGAAGATATTCATGGCTGCAAGATGTTATCTGTCATTTCTCTCTTACTCCATAATTTAGTCATTTGATCTTACTTTGGGGTAATATTCCAGATTAATGATGATTATTTTGACAACTACTAATTGCCTCTGCTTGGTTGTTCCGTAAACATATTTGCAGAACTGAATTCATGATTTCCCTTCCAAAGGCGGATTATATTTTTGAGAATGACATCACTATCTACCCCCTGCCCAAGGTAGAAACAAGTATCATCCTTTACTCTTTCCTTTGTTTCCACATTTGTTTGATTTAATTCAAATATTTCTTGTCACCAACTTAATTCTTGCCTATATCTCTTTTGTTTAGGTTAGTACTAACAGTTAATATCTGTGTGCCCTGTTGATAACTGCACTTTCTGCAGTCTGTCCTCTGGTCATTGTTTCTTAAATTACCAATGATGAAGGACCATTTTTATTTTATTATTTTTTAAAAATTTCCAGTCTGACATGGATAGATATCTTTAAAAATAAATAAAATGACCAAGAAAAATGAGCATATATTTGGATATTGTGGAAATGTCAAATTGCCCAGTGTTCCTAAATACTTACTCTCAGTTTGTGAATTCATAGTCACTTTTCACTATTTGATAATGGTCTATCAACTCATAGCACACACTAAATTAGTGAATACTGAAGATTGCTTTTAGGAGAAATAAAAAGAAATAAAAGATAAGTTCTGCCTGAATAAAACTTATTTAGCATATGTATTTTTTTTCTGTAAGGTATACCATAGTCTTCTTGGGCTTATGAAGGCCAGAAAGCATAATTGGGGGCATTTAAAATAGTGAGGTCACTAAGAAAAATGCACAGAAATGTGAAAAACATAACACCAAATAGTCTGGAAAGGACATCTTTTCACTGTATGAAAGCTGAAATAAGAAGATAGAATGTTGCCTTGGCTGAGTGTGTGAATATCTGCAGACTGAAAATTTTTACCACTCTGAGCATGTTTGTGGATGACTGTGAAAGTT